TCTTTCACCTAGGGAAAAAATATTTTTCAATTTGTACTCAGTCTCTTCTTGGGAAAAATGATTTATCCATCAGCTGCTGCTACAGATTGTTAGGAAAGAGGGTGGGGCCTTCCCAGGCTGACGTCCTTCAAGCCCTACCTGACTATAAAGAGCAAGGAAGTGTTGCAGCCAAGAAACACTCAAAAGCCATTTCTAGTGACTGCTTGGATTCCAAGGCTGGCTTTATGCTGCAACTGCTATAACTTGCTACCGAAAGAAGGAAGAGGGAAGTTGAAGCCAGCTAGTAGTGGCTAATTACTCTGGAGAATTACATGAGAAATTATCATGTTCTCAATGTGAAACTGGATTTTCATTTCTTTTTACAAATCAGTAAGGTTTGGTTTTCTAGGTTTTTTTTTTTCTTCCCTCCTTTTTCATATTTTTCTGCACAGCCAGTGGAAATGTTGCAAACAGTCTGCATGAGTCCTGAATTACTGATCAATCAAAACATCAGTGAAAATGAAGTCTGTGGCTATAGCCCAGGCCAGGAATCCCCACTGCCTGGAGAAACTGCCAGCCCCAAAAGCTATTTTCAGCAGAGCCCATCATTGCCAGACTCTGGATTAACTGAATTTAATGTTGCGAGTCCCGAGATCTACTCTCCTCCTTCTGGTAAACCTCAGGAGAGGTCTGCTCCCACCGGTAAGATCAAGAATTTACTCACATTTTTCTATTTTATGCAACTGTATTGTGCTTCCTTTGCAAAGCAATAAAGTACACTGACTTGCAACTCGCTCTGTGCTAGCAGAAAATTATGCTAAGAGCAGACATGTTAAGCTTCTGTGGCAATAATGCCAAAGAAAGATGCATGTTGCACTTTTTCCCTACTCAGATCTCATTTTTGTTTTGCTGTGGTCTGTTCCCAAAGTCAGAAATGATTTTGTGTTTTGTTAAGGGCTACTCAATAATCCATGATTTCTGTTTCTCTCTAGCATTTCGCTGCTCATTTACAATCTGAACTGCAAGTTTGGTTTCAAATCAAACAACAACGTAATAGATGTGACCTTCTAAGTTATTAATATTACAAAATCATATGAAAGCGTACTTGGTGAATCATTGCCTTTGTCGAGTTCTTCACTCTCAAGGCTGTATCTGGGCATGTAATCCAATCCATCATCTAGTACTGTTACTCTGAAATAGCTTAAATAACGTAATATATTAACAATTTTGTCTTTTTATAATGCCTTTCCAACAGGCCTTTAAAATACTCTACAAGTGGTAAATTATTTATCTTTAAAACACCAGTTTAAAATACTAATTATTTCCATTTGTAGAGTAGTCTGAAAAATAAACTACATTTTCGAGGTCTCAGTGTTTCAAATATTCAGTGACAGGTTAAACATTCAGAAATGCCAGAAGTCAGCACAAAGTGAAAAT